GGTGGCATAGTGGTTTTTTCGCTGTCATCGGCCTACTTTGGATCCTGTGGTCCGAGGTTCGAGTCCCGCCACCCAACTTTGGTGTAGACAGCTTTGCTGTCGTCCGGTTCTATACTACATCTGACTTAGCGGGGCGTTATATGGTTCGCCACTCCAAGTACCGGGGCTTAGGTTGCCAATTAGTATCACTGAATAGCAGGCCTTCGTGACTATGGGGTTCCACCACGTCTGCTGTCTATCACACACCGGTGTGTAATAAAAAAATGTATGCAGATTGGAAGGTTGTAATAGCAGAATCATAGTCAGTGCATGCCGAAAAGAATTTTTAGACATTAGGGGACAAAAAACGCAGAGGAAGGTACTGAGTTTGTCTTGTTTTTGTTCATCCACTAGCTCTAGGAAGTTAGTGAACGTATAATACCAGTGTTTCCAGGAGTCGGCACCATTTGGAGAATTCGGATCAGCGTCGAAATGACTCGGGCATAGATGTTGGTTCATTGTCTATGGCTGATTAAATTGCAACGTGATTGATGGGAGATTGTGGCATAATAGACCGCACGTTTAATTGGCTGGCAAGCCAGAAGATAACGCTTTATTGATAAGCCTTAATCGGTTAAAAGCGAGGCATGGAAGCTAAAACAAGACAAGTAAAATGTTGGAATATGCACCTGGAATAAGAGCTATTTATGAAACTGAAGGACAGCAGTAAATTTATAACGGAGTCTACAAAAGAAGTGTTTGTGTTCCAAAATATGGCGAAGAGGGAAAGTGTGGTCGATACAACTTCGAGCAGGTCGAAAACATAGCTTGCTCCTCACGCGTGTACCCTTCACGTGCGGCAGATAATCGAAGGAATATGATGCCAGCGAGAAGTTTAGGAGCAATGTTGATGAAGCTAATTCCTCTGTGACTTTCACAAGAGTATCATCACCTTTCTTGTTAATCGAAAGGATGACCGATTCACACCATCCAGTTGAAACTTTTCCCTCTCCCATATTGTGCAGAGGAGTCTCGTCAACTCCGAAAGTAAGGTTAGACTTCCGTCCTTAAACACCGAAGGGGACGACCCTTCGGGATCGGAAACCTTATACCTTTTGAGATAGCTTATTTCTCTGGCAACCTCCATTTCAGATGGAGGACTGATGTTAACTGGCAGTATTTGCACAATTAAACCGGATGTAAGNGGTCTTGTGCTGACGAGGGCCAGCTGAACTGAGCCTTAAAATGTTCTGCCCATCGATCTAGACGGCGTTGCTGAATGTGAACCAGTGTGTCGTAAAACTCCTTAATGACCTCACGCCTACTTCCCTTGGGCCCGTTGTAACGTTTTACGAATCAAGCAAACGAGAGCGGAACTGAGAAGGCTCAGAGTCGGAATTATACGCTTTACTCAAATAATAAATCCGGTGCATGAGTTGT